CGACTCGACGGCACATAACAACAACAACAACAACATACTTTATTTGGTATTATTAGGTTTGAACATAGATCATGGGCTTTACAACTACTTGCTATGCATCAGGAAGCTGGACAATGCCTAGGGATGATAGAAGGAGAATTCATACCTTTGAGCTTTGGTGCTAGAGAAGAGTATCGAATATACCATGGACTGCTAGGAGGGCAATTAGATTTGTCCTGGAGAGGGTGAAACCAGGCTGCTCCTTGGCGGCAAGGATTCTGGATCTTCATCTGACATACTTTGGGCATGTTGCATGGAGAGACCAGTCCTTGGAGAGGGACGTTATGCTTGGGAGGGTGGAGGGACAGTGCAGGAGAGGAAGACCCTCTATGAGATGGATTAACTCAGTGACTGGGGTAATGAGGGTAGGTGTGTCAGAGGCAGACAAGGTTGGCAAAGGATAGAGCAGGGTTCAGAGCTGTTGTACTTAGGGTTGCTATGAGTCGCAAGCAACTAGAGGGCACATAACAACAACAGGGCCAACTGGGGTATAATCCAGTCTGTCAGCAATAGAAACCAACACTTGAGTTCCCAATATAGCACTATTCCTGGGGATGATCTCTCAGCACCTTGGTGGAATGATGATGTCATCCAATTGCATGCATCATATAAACAGAAGAATTATGATTATACTGAGGTAGACATTTACTTTGGGTGTGGGTTTGTCTCCCTTGCTTGCAGTGCTGCTACCAGAACTACTGGTGCTGTTTCTGTACTTACAGAATACCTTATCCACTATCATGTCACACACAGTATTGCCTCAGGTCAAGGAACTTATTTCCCATCAGATGAAATCTGGCAGTGGTCCCAAGCTCGTAAGAGTCACTGATCTTACCATGTTTTCCATCATTCTAAAGCAGTTGGCTTGCTAGAATTCAATGACTTTCTAACATATTATGTTGTCAGCTAGGTAGAGTTCTTGTAGAGTTGAAGTAGTGTTCACCAGGCTAAATATGCTCTGAATTGGTATACAGTAAATGGTACACTTTCTCCGAGAATTCATGGATCTAAGAATTAAAGGGTGGAAATGGTGAGACTATTTAGTGACCTGCTTGCAGATGTTTTGAGACCTCTCCCTGCAGTCCTATGTTCTGCAAGTCCAGGAGTATTAGTTCAAAAGGTAGAAGTGCCCCCACCTACAGGCACAGTATTGATTGCATTGAACTGGAACTTAAGAATGCCATCCACTGACAGAGCTCCTCATGCCCCTGGATCAACAGGTGAGATACTATATTGACTTGTGTGACTGACCCTGTGTACTAAGGGGAAACAGGATTGACCTTAGTCTGGAATAGAAGAGACCCCAGAAGACAGCTCTTGGTACAGCACACATCAAAGCTCTTTTAAGTTCGGTTGCAGACCATAGAAACAGTGTGAGTCCTACAAAATATTTGGTTTCTTAGTACATATTAAATGCACTCTGTATTTTGTTAAGTGTGCAGTAGTATGGTGAAACAGTTTGAACTATTACAAGAATTACCAAAATGAGACACACAGGCATGACATTAATATATTTTGTTGGAAAAATAAAGCCAACAAACCCATTATTTTGAAATGTATTAAAGTGGAACGCAATAGAGCACGCTATGCCTGTGTTGTTATGACCTCTGAAAAACCTCAGCGACCCATTTCTAACAGACTCACCAAGTAGGAAGGTGTGGGTTACCCCGTTAGAGAAAGAACTTGGACAAGCTGAGATGCTTACTGAGGGCAAAGGGTATGTGGAATGGGTGGTGGAAGAAGATGTTTCCAAAGACCATCTATGACCACATGGCCAGCTACAGAAGGGAAGACTGCACTTGTTTTTAATGTTTCTTCCTTGCCTTATTATGTGTGTGCATGTGCACGCGTGCGCACACGTGTGTATGTGTAGCACTTTGTTTTCTTACACATGACTTATTAAAATATATATAAGTGGACCTAGGAGATTTTGGATTGTACACACGTTGTTTTATGCTGGGTACAAGTATGACTTTGTACTTGTCCTTACTTACGGATTTTTTACGATTTAAGGTGCTGTGTGTGAAGGTGCGGAATTGATAAGGGATGGATTGTGATGATTACGGTTGTGTGTCAACTTGGCCAGACCGTGATTCTCAGTAGTTTGACAGATGATTCACAGTGGTCCTCTGTTTTGTGAGCTGATGTGAGTGTCAGTGAATTGAAAATGAGTTTCCTCAGGGGTTCTGCTTGCATCAGATATGAATAGATGTTCTGGCAAAGTTCACCTCCTGATCCTGAGTCTGCCTTGTGATTCTCTGATCTCTCGTTCTTGGGTTGTGAAAGAACAGAAAGAAAGGGACTCTGCAACTATTAGAGAAGCCTCTAGCCTGATGCCTAGTGCGTGTGCTAGGGACTTGCTAGCTTCCACAACTGCTTCAGCCAGTTATTTCCTTGAAGGAAAAGAATCTCTCCTTGTGTTACATACAATCCTCCTTGACAGCACATTACAACATATGTGTGTGTATGTATTATTGTGTATGTATGTGTATATAACAACATATGTGTGTGTATATATATAATACTGCATCTGTTATAGCTTAGTGGTAAGAGGCTTCACTCTAATCCTGAAGGCACACAGTTTGAGGCCACCAGCTACTCCACAGGAGAAGATAGGCAGTCTCCTCGCGCACAATTCACTGCCTCTGAAAACCAACTGAAGGGTCAGCTATGGGTCAGTTTTTGAGTTGACGGTACACAACAACAACCTATATTATATAGTATTCAATAGAAAGTGTATATACACATGCACCTACACACACACACACACACTATACTCTACACATATACAGTTCCCTAGTTTTGCTGCTCTGAAGAACTCATCCTAAGACATTTGTACTTAAGACTTACAGGCATGTGGACTTCCATTGAGCTTTTGTCCCTGACTTTACATTGTAGGCTTAGAGTCATGTAAATCCATCTTGATAAGATCTTTCATTTGTAAGGTAAAGGATTACTCACTGCCATTAAGTCAACTCTCAAACTCTCCATCAGGTTTCCAAGCCTGTGAGTCCCAGGGATGCCCAAAGAGCAAACAGATATGTCTTGGAAAAGGTGTAGCCAGAATGCTTCTTGAAGGCAAGGAGAGTGAAGCTTCCTCTTTCATACTTTGGACATGTTGCTAGAAGCTGTCCCTTGGAAAGGGGTGTCATGCTAGGAAATGTGGAGAGTCAACAAAAGTTAAGAAGACCTTTAATGAGATGGATTCACCCAGAGACTGCAGCAGTGGACCCAAGAGTGTAAGATTCGATGAGGGATGGCACTGCATAGGACAGAGTTCAGGTCCCTTGTTTAAAGAATTGCTATGACTTGTACTCAACTTGACAGCACCTAACAACCATCTTTATGGAAGATTGCCCATATTTCTCCCTTGAAGTACCTGGCAGATTCGAACCCTCAGCCTACCAGTTGGTAGCCTGACAGGTTACACCTTATCCACTGGAGAGTCAGCTTTGGGTTGGTTCTGACTCCATGGTACACACAACAGCAACAACAGCCACAAAATAAAGGATAAGTGTAAAGTATTTTCTTCAAGAAAAAGAAGTTCAAGGGCATGGGACATTAGCTACCTTATAGGAACATTATAGACAAAATCAGAGCTCTTCCTGTCTTCCATTGGCTTCTTGTATTAACACATTGGGGTTACCCAGTGAGAAGATTATTGGCAGCTTCTCCTGTGCAGTTTATAGCTTCAGAAACCCACCTATGACTTGGTTTTAACTGGATGGTAGTAAGTGAATGACCCAATTTAGTGCTTGGCTTTCTTGATTATTCTAGACAAGTAACAATTCTCCCTGAAATAGATTATTTCTGTATGTTTAAATAAGGCACTATCCATTCAAGTTTAGAAAATGAAAGCCTTTACAAACACCACTTAAATATTAGCCTGCTTAATGAAACACTTGCAAAAATGTAAAAAAAAAGATAAAGTGTTAATTGACATATGTAGATAATATTGTTATTAAAAACATGTGATTTAGTATATCAGTGGTAGTATCCGAATAGAGTGTTCTTGGTGCTTTAACTAAACTTTGTTTCTTGTTTTAGTTGGAGTATTTCATGATTCAAGCCTTAAATCAGAAGACAAGTGATAAAATGAAGAAAAGAAAAATGAGTGCCTCATTTCATGGAATTAGACCACCGCAGCTTGAACAACCAGGTTTGTTTATAAGCCAATGTCTAGGCACTCAGTTGCTGCGTCTTTATTAATCTTAAAATTTTTTTCTTCAGCTGCTATTTTATTATAGACCATTTCATCTTAGAGCACTTTCTCTCAGATTTAAATGTACTCAGGGATCACCTGACATTTTGATTCAGTGTTTGTTTGAGCAGCCAGGAAATCAAGAGACAGATTGCACTGGGAAGGTCAGCAGTGAGGGACCTCTCAAGAGAACTGAAGAGCAACGACGTCAGGCTGGAGACCAAGGTGTGCCTGAAAAGGGCTGTAGTCTTCACAATTACGTGCTGTGCATCGGACAGTTGAACAGTGACTAGGGATGATAGAGAATTGATGCCTTTGAGCTGTGGTGCTGGAGAAGAGTGTTGAATATACCATGGACTTCTAGGAGAACAAACAGATTTGTCCTGCAGAAGGTGAAGCCAGAATGCTCCTTGGAGTCAAGGATTCTGAAGCTTCGTCTGACATACTTTGGGCATGTTGCAAGGAGGGACTGGTCCTTGGAGAGGGACATCATGTTTGGGAGAGTGGAGGGGTGGTGCAGGAGAGGAAGACCCTCAGTGAGATGAATCCATTCTGTGATTGGGATGTTGGGAATGAGTGTGTTGGAGATGGTGAGGTTGGCACAGGATAGAGCAGCATTTTGAGCTGTTGTATATATGGTCGCAATGAGTTGCAAGTGACTTGACAGCACATAACAAAAACAACAAGTTTGTGCTGGTGCTACAAATCTACCTTTTAAATAAACTTCTCAATAGATTCTGAGTCAAATGGTTCACAAATCAAGTCTTGGGAAAAAAAAACAAATCAAGTCTTGGATAAATCTTTAATCTTTAGAGATATTGCTATTAAAAACTTGAGTCTATATGAAAAATGATGCCCAGTGAAGGTGAGTGTAGTTGTTCTACATTGATGTTTGATACCTAATAAGTACCATATATTAAGTGTTTACCTTGATGAGATTTCATTTCAGTAACATCTCAAAAACAGTCTTGAGGCAGTGCAGGGTATTATGATGATAGATAGTGGAAATTAGTATTATGGAATTACTGCTAATTTTATTATGTCTGTTATTGATATTATGGTTGAATAGGGCAAAGTCCTCAATTTTAGATTGTGAATAGAGATGACTGTTAAGTAACTAGAGCTATGAGATCTTTATGGCAGTAACTTTTAAATAGTTCAGCAGTATATACGTGTGTCTGTCTAGAGAGAAGACAGAAGATACAAAATAATAATTGCAGAATCTAAGTGGATAATAAATACGTGATTTTTAAAATAATAATCTGAATCCGTTTGCTTCTGGTAGGTATTGTTTTAAAAAGTAGATGTTTGATACTTTTTAATTGAATGACTAAGTAACAATTTAAAAAATCAGGAAAATGCAAATTAGGATGAAAGTCAATTCCAGATTTAAAAATAAGTGCAGAAAAGTCAACTATCATGATACACCCTTGGCATGCATCTTTCTAGAGGGTGGAGTGAAAGGGGAGACTTGACCTGTTATGCAACACATGGGAACCCCCTTATAGCCGACCTTCCATTTGGTTTCCCCAGCAGTACATGGCATGGGAGGAAATTACCAGAGTTATTTCTCCAGAGACGTCACTAGTGAATCCAAACTGCCAGAGATATCTGTAGCCTTCAGTTAGCAGCACAAATCCCTACAGACTACTACGCCAAAGCTCCCATCGTAATCGATTAAAAATGTCAAACTCACCAACTCATTGTTTGACTCATCATGGGATTTCCAAGACTGACAATCACAAAAGAGGAGATGATCAGTCTCTCCCTTGGAGCTGGGAGAACTCAAACCTTTACAGAGACGTGACCTTGGGTTAGAAGTGCAGTTCTCGGGGAGCTCTGGTGGCCTAGTGGCAAGAAGCTGCAACTACAATCCCAGAGGCTCACGGTTCGAATCCACCAGATGCTCTGCCGGGAAAAGGAGGGACAATCTCCTCCTGTACCAGTCAGATCTGATTTGACGGTACACTCACACAAAAATAAAAAAATAAAAAAAAAAGAAGTGCAGTTCTCTATGGATTACATCACCAGAGGTCCCGATGTAACAGACCTTGGGGTCTTAAATACTTTCTGGATTAGAAGATGGGTAAAGGGTTACCAAATAGGTAATGGAGATAGCTGGTTAATAGTTTCTTAGCTGAGAAGAGAAAATACACCAGCTTCTTAGAGAAAGCCAAGCAGTAATATGTTACTTAACTTTACTAAAATCTCTCACCTCTGCCGTCATTTAGGAGCAGTAAGTAATACATTGATTTCACATGCAAGCAAGATTCTACTGAAGATTATCCAAAAACGACTGGAACAGCACATCAGCATTGAACTGCCAGAAGTCCAGGCTGGGTTCAGAAGGGGTTTTGGTACTAGGGATATTGTAGCTGATGTTAGATGGATCTTAGCTGAAAGCAGAGAATACCAGAGGAATGTCTATCTGTGTTTCATTGACTATGTAGAGGCGTTTGTGTGGATCATAACAAACTGTGGCTAACTCTGAGAAGAATGGGAATCCCAGAACACTTGATCGTTCTAATGCGAAACCTATACTTG